GCGGTGACTTCAGAACGTGAATAACATCGGCCATTTTTCGAGGCGACCTCCCTCGAAACTGGAGGAGCTTCTTGCGAAGCAGTAGCTACTTGATCTTCTTCGATCCCCGAGCTATAGGGGACTCAGACTTTCGAGCATCCTCTTTTGGGGGCGCCACTCCAGGTCGACATTAATCAACTTGTGAGTGATGGAGAGATAATCCTTAAGCAGGAAAAGAGCTTCAGAATTCGGGACACGGGTATTGGAAGGTTTATTGGTGCTTATTCCCACCCCAACCATGATCCTTTTCTTCTTCTTAGCCTCGGTAGGAGCGTTCAAGGAGTCAGATGACCTTTTCTTCTTCGTCATTTTCTCCTTCCTCTTTGTAGCAGCTTCGGCAATAGGTTGCAGTGAAGCAGAGGTTTTTTTAGATGGGGACAAGGCCACGATGTTTGGTGGTCTTGGGCAAACCTATGGAAGGAAAAGACTTAGTCAAAATAATGATAAGATGAAAATGACCCAAAGGTAAATTCAACCAGAAGAAGGGGAACATTCACTATGAGAACGAGCCTCCCACTAGCCTTTGGAAAGCTTGCGCCACTCACGCGTGGAATAAGTGAGTTGTTTGCATATGCCCTGGACCTACTCCCTAAAATGAGGGACCGCTTTGGGGACTCGGGTGACAACTGCATGTCAAATAAGACAAATAATTAGAGAAAAGAGTAGATTCAAAGGAGTACTTTGACAAATTAAGAGGAAATAAACTTATGTTTTTAGTTCCACTTCTCGGTGAATGGCAAGAACTCGAAAGGAATAAGGTATTCGGTCTTTATCCGAACAAACCTCCCCTGCCAGCCTCGATCCCTGTCCTCGTCTACACAGGAGAATATAGGTTTCTTTGCCCGAAAGGTGAGCTTAATTGACCTCCATCAAAAGATTCGAGGGCTGTAAACTCGGAGAAGATAGTCAACCGTGAACCGAGGCTATCTGTATTGTTAGCGAATTGATGGAGAAGGGTCATGATCCTCCAAAAAGACGGGTGGATCTGCCCGAGGCGAATTTCGTACCTCTTACAAAAATTGAGGATCATCGTATCCACCGGATCGAACGTGAAAGGATACGTATAAATGCTTAAGTATCCTTCCACGTGTGTCATGATATCCTCATCGGGACTAAAAATGACTTTGTTTTTGCCTTCCTATCTGCAATCCTCTCGGACCACTTGGAGCATCTCCTCGGTTATGGAGCAGAAGTACCTCCACGCCTCTTCACCTCGGTCTCCTTGTTTGGAGACTTTTCCGACCTTGAAGTCGTTATCGATGGAGTAGCCTCCCGGGATAAATTCTATGAGAGGAGGTTTCGAGGCTATTACCGGAAGGGTTGCCTCGGTGCTTGTGGCCGAGATAAAAGTCGAAGGTGCAGTATTTTGGGGAACCAACATTTAAGTCTTAGCCATCTTAATCTGGAAATATGAACGTTTAAAGGTTGATATGAAGGTTTGAAGGTAAATTATGGAAGTTTGAAGACAATAGATGAAGATATGAAGATGTGAAGAACAACTTATGAAGATTTGAAGGATTGATGATGATGGTAGGCTATAATCTCGTGTTTTAGTCGCTTATTAAACTTTAATTTACTGCACTTTATTCGTGTTGAACTTTAATTGATAGTGTTTTGCACTAATTATGTATTTTATGCCTTGTAGGATTGATTCCGAGTTATGTAGATGTTATGAAATGAATTCGAGCTATTTGGAGCTTTGAAGTCTAAGTAAAAGCCCAGTGGATTAAGCCGGGATCGCATTCGGGGGCCAAAAACTACGTTTGGATATCAAAAAAAAAGGAAAATTCTGTACTCTGAGAAAATCCCACAGCCGCGGTGTGTGGGGCGCCGCGCATGTACAAATTCTTGATGCCTAACAAACTTCAACTCTTAGGAAATCCCCACTAACGCCCTGCATGGCGTGTCGCCCCATGCGGTGCGCTTGTGCAAATTTTACCGAGTAATTGTCCTATTTTGCGNGTTTGGATCGTTTTATGTTTTTCTTTACTTTAAACATATTTATGATGAATTGCTCCATATCTATAGAGTAGTTCTCTTTAGGATTTGATGGATTTGGTGTATTAATATTTGTTTATAGATTATAACTCTAGTTTTTATGTATTGAATCGTTTTGGATGGTTTAATTATTGTATCTATATTCACACGTTCATGTAATCGAAAAAGGCATAACTTATGATATCTTTGTATTATCTTGTTGGTCGAATTCATTCATTCTTCTTAGTAATCGAAGGAGGCTAGTTGAATTGTTGACTAAACCTAGTCAGGAGGATAATCGAGAGAGGTTCTCCTAAAGACACTATGTATTCTTGCATATCTTCACATGCTTAAATTGGTTCATCTCGTGAGGTTAAAACTTAATCGAGAGAGAAGTTTTTGCTGAACGTTTGAATTAATCATTGAGCGAATTCGAGAGACTCACTTGAACATTAAAAGTGAATTATCTAGAGTTAAATCCCATATAATTATCTTGTATCTATCCAATCAACTCCTATTTTTTCCCATTGATATCTTCCTTTGCTTGGTCCTTGCTTCAATTGGCATTAGTCAATTAGCTCTAGATTCTTAGTTAATTATAGTTTTAATCACATAAATCTAAATTGTTGATCATCTTGGATAGCAATCTAGCTACAACCTACGATAATACTGTTTAACTCCAATCCCTATGGATACGATATTATACTATACTATATTTGAATAGCGAGCATAATTAAAGTGGTGTTTAGCGCTCGTCAGATGAGCAGATAGAAAATTCGAGGGTAACTCAGGAAGGTTCGAAATCAGATAGTAAAAAAGTAAAAAAAAAAAGGAAATCGGAGCTTTTATAGGAAAGAAATAATGAATGTGTGGCGTTTCACATTCGGTAACTACCAAGGATGGTCAACCAGAGGCTGACACGTGTCCGAAGTCAGAGCGATATAACTGATAGGACGTTTCAGTTCGCCAGCTTGCTTATGGAGTACGAAGGAAGGAACCAAGGTCAATTAATCACTTCTCGTCGTTCCTATAAATCTACTCTCTGAGAAATGAGGGGACTATCAATGTACGGATAAAATTGGGGATAAAGTTACCCCCAATTTTTCGATGAAGAAACGAGAGACAACATGGTTCAACACTGGCTCAGGTAAAGCCGAGGGCGCCCACAGATCAGAGCCCGAGGGAACGAATGACACGTCAAGAATCAGACATCAACCAGATATCCGCCATCAAAGATTCGAGGTTAAAGGGAAGGCGGTTAGAGAGGACGAACGAGGAGCCGAAATATCCGCCATCAACCAGATATTACGGCGCAGATACGCCCGATATCAATTGCAGATCGTGTTTTACTAGAAGAAAGAGATTTTTACCTTATTTAGACTTGTACTAGGATTGAAACTCCCCTATTATATAAATGGGAGAACATTTTCATTTTTTACCACTTTAGCACGCATATCAAAGCAAAGAAGTCTACTTTTGTCTTCTAGCTATGTTCAAAGTGTTATTTAGTTGTTCATTTCTTTGGTTGCAACCGAGCTCATCTCGAGTGCTCGATCGGAACCGATTTCTAGCATTCAAACTTAACGCCATGCTTAATTGTTTCATCACATTTGGTTTGATCGCCTTGTTTTCCTTTAATTCAATTATTTTTTGTTCTTAGATCGTTCGTGCTAAATTAAATCACGTATCCTTTAAACTGTGTACAAATTTAATTGTTACTCATTTTAAGGGTAAACAACTAGTCTCAAGAAAGTGTTCCATTAGAAAAACATAAGGAGCTTAGCACATTATATAGCAGTATAATTTACGTAAAAGAATAGTCAATAGATTGTTAATTAGTCACAAGTTAATAAACCTAATAAATATAGTCTATAAGTTAAATTTTATAAATGCCGATGGTAATAGGACTGCAATCCGCAAAATATTCGAATGGGTAACGAGATTTAGTGAATAGAATCCAGACCTATATACGAGGTAATAGCCATTGTGTTACACCAAGTGAAAAGTTATAAGTCGAAGAAAAAAAGAACTTAGATAATTGATAAAATAGAGACCGAGCAAGTGTTGCCCGAAGCATGAAAAAAGGGGTTATTTCTAATGCGAACTAGTTTTTAGTAAGGGAAAATGATGCCGATACATCAAACATTTACATTATATTTATTATTTATAGCTATACTTTTAACAAATTTATCATCTGCAGCTATATTTGAATGTTATAGTAAATTCATAAAATAAGAGATTAACTGTTTCGAACTAAAATAATAGAACAACAAGCTCTCGTAGCTCAGTTGGTTAGAGCATCCGCTTAGTTACGAAGGTCTTGAGTTAAGACTCTCAACACGAATATTTTATTTTTCTGTATTCTGTATTTCACCTTGATAGTATTCGTTGTATCATTTGTATACACCCTTGTATTTCGCCTTGGTTACAATTGATACATATTGATACATATTGTATTCGTTGCACGAATGAATACAATTGCACGAACGAATACAGTTGATATACGTTGTATTCGTTGCGCGAATGAATACAATGGACACAAGCTATATCCGTTGCGTATTTGAATAGAAGTGATACAAGTTAGTAACAATTGAATAGTAGCTATAAATGATAATTAGACAAATTATAGCTACTAGGCTCTAAACTATAGCAGTTTATGAAAATTCCTCTTTCTAGTATTGCAATTTATGGGATTTAATTGGATTTTTTTGATGTTTCTAGTTAAATTTTCTTTTTTTCACACTTTCCGTTATACTTAATAGTCAGAGTTTGTCAAATACTTAGTAGAGATCAAAGGTGCTCATTTTTGATAAATTTAAAGGATCAAAATAGCTGAGGAGTATATTTAAGAGATTATTTATATTCAAATAGTCAAATATAAGGGATCATTTTTGTCACAGTTGGATTGAGAGCTGGACTCTTAAATGTGGGCCCGGTTTATAGCCCAAATGGGCTTGGGTTTTCTAAACCGAATAAAGAGGGGGATTGAGAGCTAGAAAACAATTTAGTCGGGACTCTGAAAAACCTCCAAAATCTTGCACTCTCCATCTTATCAAGCAGTGAGCAAAGAGTAGAAGACAAAGGGTTCAAAGGATGAGCAGGTCGGGTCAACCTCCGGATCTCAAAAAGTAGGTTTTTTCTCTCATGGACCTTAGCTTCTCATTTTCCTGTACTTTTTTTTTCCTTTTCCTATGTGAATTTGGGGATTTCTTATTCCTTTGAATTTATTCCGTTTTGTTTGCTTTCTGCAGGTATATGGACAAGCAACTTCAAAGTAAGTTACTAATGCTTTATGTTCTTACGTACTGCTTTATTTGGATAGTTAATTTGTTTTTTCTGCAGTTTATTCAGATTTTAAGTATTTTTTGTCAAACGTTTAGGGTTTGTGCTTCAGGCCTCTAGTAGACTACCCTTCTTGGGTTTACGGGATGCGTATGCGATTGACACATAGGGATTCTCATTTTGTTTATGCTGCTTTCATTCTTCAATCCATGTGAAATACCAACATTTACATACACCTATGCGTTTTAAAACTATGATGTTTGAGTGTGTTGATAACTTATGTTAATTTTACGTGCTATTTCTGTGTGTTGATAACTTATGTTAATTTTACCTGCTATAAGAAACAGAGGCTGTCAAAAACCTTTTGTATGCACGGGCCATTATCTTTTGTTAGACATTATTCAAAATAGACACTCTATGTCATCTGTGGACTAGACACGATAAATCATCCTCTCAGAAATAGATGTAAGCCAAGGATGAATCCGATGTGCTTGATTATATCATCCATGACTCAGCTTCAACAAAGAATATTGTCTAGAAAAAAAAAAGAAAAATATTGATCTAAGCGGCATTGGCTAGAGACGCCTATTTTTCATAGTGTTCTCAAGGATTTCTTCTGAAACAAAAATATCCGTCGGGTTTGAATATCATAGTTGAACCACAATGCTCCCTTTAATTGGAAACATTACTTTGCTGTGTTTCCTTTTTCCTTTTTCTTTTTATTAGATATATTAAGGGGAACCTTGGCGTAACTTGTAAAGTTGTTGTCATGTGACCAGGAGGTCACGAGTTCGAGCCTTGGAAACAGCCTCTTGCAGAAATGCAGGGTAAGGCTGCATACAATAGACCCTTGTGGTCCGGTCCTTCCTTGGACCCCGCGCATAATGGAACTTAGTGCACCGAGCTGCCCTTTTTAGATGCATTGTCACATCAATTCAAGTTGGTTACACAAACTTTAGACCTATATGACATGAAGGTAAAGGGAGTCGGTAAAACCTCGATTTTTAGTGCATCAGTCTCATTTCAAGCCCATAGGCAGACTTCTTAGTTAGTACACATCCTAGAACTGATGTCAATTTTTTAGTTGTTTATGCTTGGAAATTTCGATTTATTGCTATCCTCTTAAGGTCGTTCGTGATAGCTATCAGGGTTCGTCACTCATGGTTTGTGGTTGCTTCAGCGAAATCATGATTTCATTGTAAAGCCAAAGTGAGTGGAGATATTTTGGACTCCATTGTACTCCTTTGATTTCATATTTCACTCTTGGGTCAAAACTTCATTATGGCCATACAACTCTATCTTTAACATACAACACCACATTCTTGAACCTGCATTCTTGGAAGTGTTTTTTACAATAATCCAAAAGCTGGAAAATGCTGTATTTCCTAGTTGGGGCAAGTTGCATTCTGCTTGCAATTGGAGTGTAAATACATCTTTTCTAAATGCCTATTTGGTATTTCGGTTGTAGCTAAGCAGGGAAGGAAAGAGAAGTCCATCATTAAAGGATGTAGAAAATACATAACTTCTGGGCTTAGTTCAAGTGGCAAAGGCTAAGGAACTTGTGGCATAGGTCACTTGTTTGAGCATGGGCCACGCAAACTACGCCTAATATTTAAGTGGAGAAGGGTAGAGGGGCGGATCCATTATCCTCCAGTTCCAAAGGCTGCTATTGGTCCTAAGAATTGGACCTGGGCAGATTTCTTGGTCATAAAAAAAAATACATAATTTTAATAAGCTCGGAACTTTCTCTTTTCTTTTCCACATATCGATAAGCTGCAACAGATGCTCTTCGTGTGTTTCTTGCAGGAACTAGCGCTGTGTCATGGTTCCTTACTAGATTAGGAAATATTATCTTCCAAATGTTGCTCTATTCTTATGTTTAAAACAATCTCTTACTTTTCTTCCAAAAAAAAAAAAGATGGAAGAGGGAAGAAAATGACAAGTCATGAGTTAAAGTAATTCTTGTAAACTAGGAGGAGGTTGTGGTTCATGAGCAAGTGAACCGTGTTAAAATTGCTGAGTCTTAGCTCAGCTGATATCTGATGGATAAAAGTTCCTATTCTCTCTTTTATAGCATTCTCCTCATTTGCATTTTCTTTGCTTTCTGTCAATGTGTATGCTTTTCTTGTAAGTCATAAAAGAGGGTAACAACTGAACAAGACAGATCGATTTCGTTGAGTGAACCTTATTCTTTGTAAGGGCATTTGTTTTTTTTTTCTCCTTTTGATAAGGAAAAGTTATAGGAAAAGCATTCGTACCTATCATGAACCAAATGAAAACAAATAATGTTAGGCGATTTTAAATGGTTTAGTCTGATCCTTGTTTAATTTATTTTCAGTAGAACTCCGGTTAACTGCAACAAGCAAGCATTCGGCAGGCATGTCCTATCATTTTAATGTTAGTTTATTGAACTAGTCATTGGTTTTAAGATAAAGAATATTCTTTAAGTGGTTTTTAGGGCTCTTAAGTTTCTGGACAAACTGCACTGTGAAGTGTAGTTGCTTGGCTATTGCTATCTTCTGCACTGCTTACATTTGTCCATGCAAAATTGCTAGATATCTTTAGATAAATAAGGTAATGTTATATATGAAATCAACATCATTAGATTGCTGGTGGTGTGAAAATTACAATAAAACAAGTCCGTATTGACTGTGTAAATAGCGAATGAAGTTGAGCATGACCTTTACATCTTGCGTGTCATGTACAATTGCCATATTGCTAAAAAAAGACAGCATTGAAATGCATACAAACTTAAGACTATCATTTTCCATTGAAAGTGCAACTTTTGTCCAAGCATAGATGTCTCTTCACTTGAATAAATAACTTATCTTTTTGAAGCTGGAAATTGCATCAGCCTTGCATGCGTTCCTACATAGAACTTGTTGATAGTGCAATTGAACAGAGTTCTTTTTTAAAATTTCCCTATATCATTTTTTAATGAGAGAGGCTCAATCTTTATGGTCTGCACACACACACACACATATATGTTAGTTAATTGCCTTATGAGGTTATATGTTAGTTAATTGCCTTATGAGGTTGCTATCACATTTGAGTAATGCTTTTTATCTTTTATAGTCAAGCTGAATGCCAACCGCTTAGTCATCGGCACTCTTCGTGGGTTTGATCAGTTCATGAATTTGGTCATTGACAACACTGTGGAAGTTAATGGCAATGAGAAGAATGAAATTGGCATGGTGGTGAGTCTCTTATTCCCTTTTCTTTTTCTCCCTTCCTCTTTGCAGTTCATCTCTGGATGTTTGGATCTCATATCCGTGTATACAGGTGTAAAAGCCAGACTGTTAATATATGATCAACAAGCCTATTTTCTTTGGAACCGCATTTGATTTTTTCTAATTTGATGAGATTTTGTTGCTTTAACTGTTACTTTTTAATCTGGAAAAGCTACATAAGGATAAATGTCCCGTAAGTGAATGTAAGCTGGTCCTTAATTTCTCTTTCAGGTAATTCGCGGTAATAGTGTGGTGACTATTGAAGCATTAGAGCCAGTTGCCAGAGCGCAGTAGCTCTAAGGTATCTTTGTCTATGCTCTAGATTCTGCTGCTGCTCTTTAAGGAACATATATTTGTACCAAGTTATTCAGTATTTGACTAGATGACAGTTAACATGACAATGGATTTCAAGTTTGTTTTTTGATGCTCTCTCTATTCATGTAGAGGACAATGTGCTGAATGTAATTTCTCTTGTGTTTCATTTTTCCCCCAATTAAAATGAGCATAATGTGATGATTACTCCTTTTAACGCTCTAAAGTAAAAGGTGTTTTCTGCTATTTTCAGTAGTCATAAAAATAGGCTCTCATAAAAAGAGAGCTTTAGTACCATTTCTCAATGGAAGGGCTGAAAAATAGAAAGATACCTTCTGACAAACTGGAGAAAATTTTATTTGTTATTTTTTGCAGATTTGTTTGTCCAGCCGCCAAAGTTCTATAATACAGTCAAGCCTCTGTATAACAACCTCATTTGTTCAAGATATTTTTAGATGTTATAGCGAATTGATGTTATAGAAAATATATATTATTACAGAAAATGAAATTTGGTTCCGAAAAAAATTGGCTTTTATAGTGAAGTGCTGTTATACAAGGATGCAGTTATAAAGAGGTCTGACCGTATGTGCTATGTCAAGTGATAAGCAGTTCAGTGACCCAAGATTTCAAGATTTTTATACTTAAAAAGTGACCATTATACCAAAATCTTATTTATCAGCACTTAATGTAAATGGAAGATACTAAATTCTAGGTAAATAGGCTATGCTGTAATATCATATTATTGATACAGTGCGTATCTCAGTCATCAAATCACTTTTATGCTTTTATTACTCTTGTTAACTTATGATTTATTTTTGAACTAATAAAGGTGAACTTTTCAGTGAAAAGTCAAAAACCACTTGGTGGAAATCATGAGCTGATACTTGGTCAAAATACTAAGTTGATTGGCTGGCGAAAACTAATTGCATTCGCTAGCCTAAAAATGTATAAAATATGTATATTATATGTATGTAATCACACAAATATAAAAAATATATATATTATCGGCTATTACTTTTGAAAACGGATAAAAATAAATATTTCTCATGATACTTCCTAAAGAGTTAGATGGTAGCTCAATATAAGTAATTAAGAGGTGTTATATTTAGCCTATATAAATGTAATCTATTCAACCCATCCAAGTTTGATCGAGTTGGATCGGGGATGAATTCATTAATGGGCCGAATTGGACTGATTGGATTTGTGTGAAGATCCCTTTCATTAATGGGTCTATGCATCCCAAATTAACTCACTAGTGTTGGGTCAATTTGAACAACCGATATAGTGTAAATTAATTCGTAATGAAAACCCAAATAGCCGCTAACCTAATTTCTTAAACTATAAATAGTCGGGGGATGTATAATGTATATACGATTTATGTATAATATATGCATAACTATGTATAATGTATGTATACCGGCTAAAAAAAGTAAATATTAAATCTGACGGGCTATTTGTGTAACAACCCCTTTTTAACTCGCTCAAATTTGACATAAGCGCAAAGCTTCTGGGCCGTACTTGTATAACTAGGATTAAAGTGAGGAAATAGAGTTAATACGTTTTCTTATTACGAAAAAGTGAATTCCCGTCAAGCAATAGTACAATAATAGCAACAATCCAGTATAATTCACTAGTGGGGTCTGGGGAGGGTAGTTTGTACGCAGACCTTCCCTCCCTCCAAGAACTCCCCACCTTGCTCTTGGGATGACTCGAATTCACAACCTCTTGGTTGGAAGTGGAGGGTACTCATCAGTAGAGCAACCCTTTCGCAAAATTTTAAGATATTAATGGCTAATTTTAAAGCAAGAGAAGCAAAGTTTTTATTAGAAATTCTGCCTTTTCATAAGATTTAGAAGCACTTCTGCAACTCTCTCGCAAAATTTTTAAATTTATGGAAGTTTCTCAATGGTAATTTAGGCCTATAACATCAAAGCAGAAATTTTGAAATTCTATCCATTTTCACAAGTAATTAAAGTGAAATGCGTGGTGTTAGTATGTAAATTATAATTGCAAGATGCTCAAGGGCTATCTACTTCATTTGCTAAGTGACTTGTTTAGATTTAGTATTAAATTTATTACTTCTTGAGACAGGATTTTGGACGTTGACTGAAATACTTTGAATTCAAAATTTGCACTATCACCAAATCCTCCCTTGTGTAAAGAAATCTGGTATTACTACAGCAATTCTGTTGTGTTTACTAAGAGAAAATACAAATCTGATAAAATTAGAAACTATGTAAAAATAATTACATAATTTCTATAATTAAAAATATTTAAACAATATATAAAAAGTTATAGTCAAATGAAAAACTGTTTGACTCACCATAAGCCAATGTTCCTCACCTGCAACGTATTTTTGAATATTATGATTAATTATTAATATTACTCATTAAAATATTCTAAGCGAAGATGTTAGCAATACCACTAGATTATGGTGATATAATTAGCAATGGTTAGTAAATTACGGATTGATGTGTAAATTAAAATGCTATGCATGTGAATACCTTTTAATTTGCAAGCCTATTATTTGTTGTGAGTTTTTAAGGAAAATATTGAGGAATTTGCTCTTTCGATATTATCTTAAATAAGAAAGATTGAGACTCGTACTGTAGAACAAGCGAAAGAAAACGTAAAATTTCGCGTTATTGGCACTATTATGCATGTTATATTATAGCCTTTTCTTAGCAAATGGTTATTTTGTCTCTCTTCTTCAAAATATTCACAATACTATTAAATAACAATTTTGTTAAGCTAATCTAATTAACTTCATCTATTAATTGATAATCATCCATTCATTAACCACTCACCTATTCTCTACTCTCCAAAAACAAATAAAATTTTAAAAAACATTCAAAATTCAAATATAAATTCCCCTTATACCCTCATACTCCAAAGACCCCCCCC